ACACCAGGCTGGGTGAATGAAGTCACCGGCTGAGTCATCCTCTGCACATGGGGGCTGAATGGGGCTCAGTCAGGCCCAGGGGAGCCTCTGCGGCAAGGTGCTGGGGGCCGGGCTCTCCCTGCCAGTGAGGCTGGGGTCTGTCCCCAGTAGTCATTCCTTTGGCCAACAAACACTTATTGAGCACCCACCTACTAGGTGTCGGCACGAGTGAGTGATTAATAAGTGAGCCATTATTTCTCAAAATAGATTTTGTGGTCATCTAAATTCAGAGCATGTTACCTAAAGCAGGTTTCAGCCTGTGTTTGCTACACAGAAACACTTGTTAAAATAAAAAAGGAAAGAAGGAAGGAAGGAGAGAAAGGAAGGGAAGGGAAGGGAAGGGAAGGGAAGGGAAGGGAAGGGAAGGGAAGGGAGGAAAGGCAGGGGTACCAAGATTTTATTAACGTTATGGTTTTAAATAGTAACTATGTTTTGGTTCAGACTCATTAATTAATTTGCCATTTCACACTGGTTGACAGGACAGAGTCAGAAAAATATTCTGATTAAGTTAATTAAGTTTGTCTCCCAAAGTAAAATACAATAGTTAGATTAGAACTGCGTTTTGCTACTTGGGTCTTAAGAAGAAAGTGGGCCTTGAGAAGCAAATAGGGCTAGGATTAGGTAAGTGAGGCACTTTCTATGGGCACAAAATTGAAGGGGACCCAAAAAAAACTCAGCTATCATAATAAAGAATATTTTAATACAATTTTTTTTTTAAAGGCTGGGCACGGTGGCTCACTCCTGTAATCCCAGCACTTTGGGAGGCCAAGGTGGGTGGATCACCTGAGGTCAGGAGTTCGAGACCAGCCTGGCCGACATGGTGAACCCCGTCTCTATTAAAAATACAAAAATTAACTGGGTGTGGTGGCAGGCACCTGTAGTTCCAGATACTCGGGAGGCTGAGGCACAAGAATCTCTTGAACCTGGGAGGTGGAGGTATGCAGTGAGCTGAGATGACGCCACTGCACTCCAGCCTGGAGTGAGATTCGGTCTCAATTAAAAAAAAAACAACTCTCTCTATATATAGTTACTATATATATACACACACATATATAGTACACAACTATATATGTACACATACATATATAAAATCAAAATTGATGCAAAAATTCATGATTAACAAAATATAAAATGTTTAAATACAGACAGGAGCAGTGCTACCAATGTGTCTCAGATTCCAACAACAAACCCCCTGCTCCCCTCCCCCTAGTTTCCCACAGCTGCCCCACTGTCCCTGCCCACCCTTGGCCAGATGGGGGAAAAGCTGATGCTAGCTCACAGATATGACAGCCAGGCACGGGGCGAATTCAAATCTCCACAGACATTGTCTCTGCTGGCTGATTCCAGGACAGTGCGACAGGGTGTCACAGGGGCGGCGCTGTGCCCTGGTGGAGAGCCCTGGCATCAGGAGACCTCTGCCTTCAAATCCCTGCCCTACCCTTCCTAGCTTCCTTACCTTGTGCTTTACCTCCTTAAGCCTTGACATCTTCATCTGTAAAATGGGGGTGATAATGTGTTGATCTCATGGGATTCAATGAGGCACACAAGGGCTCAGCAGAGCTCCTGGAACCATTCTCATTGTAGACGTGTCCATGGGCAAGTCTCATCTCCCCCGCTCTGGGTGGGAGCTGCGTTTCCTCTGTTGAGGGAATGATTCCCATTCCGTTCAGCTGTTACTGGGGAGAGCCGTGGGGCAGGCCCTCATGAGGAATGCAGGATCTGTGATACCATATGCATGAGTTTGTTTTGCTTTAAGCAAACGTCTAGAAATAGTCACAGTAGTAGCTGTAGCAATAATAGTCCTTTGCACTTTTGCTGAGCATTTTCTCAGGGATGCTAGTTAGTGCCAGGCCTGTGCCAAGGGCTTGGGGTCCACAGAGGAGCACAGAGGAGGGAATTGAGCCCAACAAAAGAGAGGGCAGGTGGTGAGACTGGAGTGAGCTGTTGTCCTGCGGTCTGTCCCGTCCAGCAAAGCTTCTGGCCTCAATGTCTGAAGCCCTGGGGGGAGGTGTGTGTGGGGTGGGGGCGAGCACCTTCCTCGACCAGGCCCAGGTCTTCAGCCCTGGCTCTGTGCCTCCCAACCCCCACATTCCCCCCTCACCAGGTGGCAGCATATCACCTGGGCTGGGAAGCCTGTTGACTCCTGGGGCCATTGAATCACAGCACACTTGAAAATCAAACATAGTGAGCCATGGAACGTGGCCCCATGTCACCTGAAAAAGTAAAGGGATTTTGCTTTCCAAGCCACAGCTGATGCTCACAACAAACTACTGCCCCTCACACCAAAATCTTAAATCTTGTCTTGGGAGATGGTTCAACAAGACAAGGCACAGAGAGCCAATCTTTAATGCTGCCGTTGTCTGAAAAGACTCCAGAATGTGTTCAATGCTACACTCAGATTTTAAAATCAATCCATTCATTTGAAAAATGCTTACCATGGGCCTTGTAAAAAGGCACAATGGGCATGACTGCACGCAGGGATAACCCTAAACAGCCTTGATAACCCTAAACAGCTTCTTCAGCTGGAATAACTCCATCCCCTTCCCCTTAAAACTTGGATGTTTGTTTGCTTTTAAAATTAGGCCAGGCACAGTGGCTCATGCCTGTAATCCCAGCACTTTGGGAGGCTGAGGAAGGTGAATCATTAAGGTCAGGAGTTCAAGACCAGCCTGACCAACATAGTGAAACCCCGTCTCTACTAAAAATACAATAATTAGCCAGGCGTGATGGTGTGCACCTGTGATCCCAGCTACTTGGGAGGCTGAGGCAGAAGAATCGCTTGAATCCAGGTGGCGGAGGTTGCAGTGAGTGGAGATTGCACCGCGGTACTCCAGCCTGGGTGACAGAGCCAATCTCTGTCTGGGAAAAAAATTAATTAAATTAAATCAAATTAAACACATACACATCATGGAGAATTTTAAAAAGAGCCCCCATGCGAGAATGTGTTAATCATGCTTGGCCATTGTGGATCAAATGACATTCCATGATTCACAACTGAAACAGTGTTAAAGGCTTTAAAACAAGATTCACAGACCTTGGGCGGCAGTCCACACCTTACACACGGCATTCATAGTCAGTGATACCAGGATGACCATTTCACCATTTCTACCTTGAAACTTGTTGCGGAGGGAAAGAAAGGGAGAGTTTGCAGCTGCTCTCAATTGTAATTTTTGAAATAGAGATCTTCATTTTTTTTTTTTTTTTTTTTTTTGAGACGGAGTCTTGCTCTGTTGCCAGGCTGGAGTGCAGTGGCACAATCATAGTTCCTTGCAGCCTTGACCACCTGGGTTCAAGCGATCCTCCCACTTCAGCCTCCTGAGTAGCTGGGACTACAGGCCTGAGCCACCACACCTGGCCTACCCTGTGATTTATTGAAGTATCTCCCTATAAATGAACATTTCATCCCCCCTCAACATTTTTATATAAATCATACAGTAATGAACATCCTTGCACATACCTAGATACGTTCTAAATCAGTTTCTCCTTGGATTAACTTCTAGGGTAGAATCAGCAAATGCATGTTGTCAAGTAGGTCACGCCAGCAAGGCAGAATCAATCTACACTCCCACCTGGAGAGCCCGAGAACGTGTGTCCCAGTGGCCTCAGCAGCACCGGTTGTTTTTCTTTTTTTGAGATGGGTCTTGCTCTGTTGCCCAGGCTGGAATGCAATGGCACAATCTCGGCTCGCTGTAACCCTCCACTTCCTGGGTTCAAGTGATTCTCCTGTCTCAGCCTCCCAAGTAACTGGGATTACAGGCACCCGCCATCATGCCCAGCTAATTTTTGTATTTTTAGTAGCGATGGGGTTTTGCAGTGTTAGCCAGGCTGGTCTTGAACTCCTGACATCAGGTGATCTGCCCCCCTCAGCCTCCCAAAGTGCTGGGATTACAGGCATGAGCCACTGTGCCCAGCCGGTGTTTTTCTTTTAAATTATGTTTTTGTGTCTGTTTATTATTTTATACCTTTCTATGATTATAGAACCTATGCAAGATCATTGTAGAGTTTCAAACATTATCAATGTATATAAAGTAAAATTCCCTCCCTGAGTCCTCCTGTCATAGTTCCACACCTGCATATAACCTGATTGTATTTCTTCCAAATTTTCCTTTCAATGCCCACACTAAAAAAATTTTGTTTTCCTACAAAAATAGTATATTATTCAGATTAGCGACTTGCCTTTTTCTTTGTGTACTTCCACATATGCTGTGGTTTTCTTTCCACGTCATTTATACGTAGGTCCCATTTTGTGATGGCTGCCACGTGTTCCACAGAATGGACATAACCTGTCCCTTGTGGAGGGCCATTTTCCTTATTTTCAGTATTGGCAATAATACATTTGCTCACGTAGTTTGGCTTGTGCATTGGACTTTCCTATCTATGATCATTTTAGAAAACACTTGTGCTGAAGAGTTTGCATGTTTGAAATGTCCATAGCTGTTGTCAAATTGCCCTCCAAAATGAACATTCCTACCAACACTAATGAAAGCACCTGTTTCCATGAGGATCTTTAAACAGGGACTAGCTGTTCACTTGGCAGGCACATATGGTAGACATGTTTTCTGTTGATGTTTACCAATTTATGATAAAGGATATTGCAAAGGATCCAGGTGAAGGAGGACAGTGACATGGCATGGAGGAGGGCCCCAGAGCTCCTACGTTGTCTCCAGGTGCCCCTCCCTCTGGCATCTCCATGTGTTCACCCTGTAGATATGTTTTCTGGAAAGTGGGAAGAACCAACCTAGTAGTTCTGTGAAGATCCTTTAGACATCTTCACTCACCTGAGGTTATGGTGCCCTGTCCTCTCTGCCTCTTCCACCTCATCCCACACACATATACATTTGCAAGGTTATGCTTGACACCATCAGCAATATTTATGATTTGTTCATAAGATAGGATCCTCATTAAATGACCCACGCTCTACCCAGATCAGCCAATTGCAGACAGGCAGATGCATAACTCACTTTCATTCAGTTTGAGAATTTCTAATTCTCCACTTCTGTAAGAGAGGAACACAGTGAGTCCTTCATAACCCACCACTGGGAGATGGTTTGAAGACCATCATACAGCATTATTGAAATACATTAGGCCTACATTGTCCAATATGGCAGCTACTAGGAACATGGAGCCCCTGAGCACTGGGAATGTGTCCATCTAAACTGGGATGTGCCACAGGTATGAAATACGTGCTAGAAATACATACTTTTTCATAGAGGAAAAAAAGTCAACTATCTCATTAATAATCTTTATATTGATTACAAGCTGAAATGGTAACCTCTTAGACATACTGGTTAAATGAAATACGCTATTAAAATTGTTATGTTTCTCTCAATTGTTTAATATAGCTATTGGAACATTTAAAATTACGTATGTGGCTTAGATTCCATTTCTACTGGATGGCATTGCTCTAAATGGTTTGTGCAGCTGCAGATATGCATCTAAGCTTTGTGTGTGTGGCTTATTTCTGCTCTCGCTCTCTCTTCTTTTCTTCAACGCAGTTCAACAATCTAATTTGCAGAGATGACTGACTATTTCAAAGATGACACCTGTCACTTTGACTGTCTGGTATACGAACAAATTGTGTGCTGGCAAAATGGCTCTCTGAAGGAACAGCAAAGCCCCAGTTTGTCATTTTTGCCCATTTCTTTGGTGTAAATACTCCCATCATGGCCAAATCCAGGCTGCCAGTGTGATGTCCCTGTACCTGGAGCTGGGAAGAGACAAGCGTTCTGGTGAGTGGGTCCTGCCAGCTCCAGCACACAGCAGGTTGTGAGGACTGTTCTTATGAATCCCCAGCCACACAAAAGGCAGGGCTCCCACAATCCCTCTGGAAGCCAAAGGTGGCATCTATTTCCTCCCCCCAGCCCTGGGCACCTAGAGCTTGGGCCCATGGGCTAAGGGAGGCCAATCAAATGCTCCTGCCGAGGATGTTGGATCTCAGGGGGTTGATGTATAGGCAGGGGGCTTATTTGGGAACATCTGTGGTGGCCGCAGCAGACTCAAGCTTTCAGAAGAATGGAGACGAACACCTGTGGGGGGTGGTGGAGCCCACCTGGGCTAGAGTCCAGTGGTGGAATCCAGCTGTGATAGCAGCTACTATCCAGTGGCAATGGGGAGAGTGGTGGCATCCAAAGTAGACTACTCCTGCAGCAGGATCTTGCTTGTCCTGGTTGCCCCTGAAGTGGATTCCTCAGCCTCCTCCTTGAGTTGATGAGCTGGCCACTCTCCCTCCATTGATTCCTTTTCTGCTAGGTCACCTAGAGTCAGAACCTTGAACCTAGGCATTTACCTGTAACAATCAGGTGGATGTGATGTAACAGGCGACGTGGCTGAAATGCAGTGCAGAGAAGGGACCGGCTACCGCCAGGTGAGAGGGCTCATCAGAATCACCACCTTTAAAAACAGCACATCCAGAATTGAAAACAGGGACTCAGATATTTCTACATCCAAGTTCACAGCAGCATTATTCACAATAGCCAAAAAGCAGAATCAACCCAAGTGTCCATTGACATACACACGGATGCACAAAATGTGGTGCATCTATACAATGGAATGTTATTCAGCCTTAAAAAGGAAGGAAGGGTCGGGTGCGGTGGCTTACGCCTGTAATCCCAGCACTTTGGGAGGCCAAGGCAGGCGGATCACGAGGTCAGAAGATCAAGACCAGACTGGCTAACATGGTGAAACCCCATCTCTACTAAAAACACAAAAGTTAGTCGGGCATGGTGGCGGGCACATGTAGTCCCAGCTACTCAGGAGGCTGAGGCAGGAGAACTGTTTGAACCCAGGAGGCAAAGGTTGCAGTGAGATGAGATTGTGCCACTGCACTCCAGCCTAGGTGACAGAGCAAGACTCTATCTCAAAAAAAAAAAAAAAAAAAAAAAAAAAAAAAAAGGAAGGAAAAGCTGGCAAAAAAGAGGACAATATGCTGAATGACATAAGCCAGTCACAGAAAGACAGATACTGCATGATTCTGTTTACGTGACGTTCTTAGCGTAGAACAAATTCATAGAGAGGGAACATAGAATGGTGGTTTCCAGGAGCTGGGGGAGGGAATGAGGAGCTGTTTAATGGGGACAGAGTTCTGGTTTTGCAAGATGAGAGGAGCTCTGCAGATGGGTGCTGGTAACGGCTGCACAGCAATGTGCATCTTCTTAACGCCATTGAACTGTATGCTTAAACAATGGTTAAGACAGTAAGTTTTCTTTATGGATATTTTACCACAGCAAAATATAATTTCAGTCTGGGCACAGTAGCTCACACCTGTAATGTAATCCCAGCACTTTGGGAAGCTCAGGAGGATCACTAGAGCCCAGAAGTTCAAGACCAACCTGGGCAATACAGCAATATCTCATTTCTACAAAAAAGAATGTAGCCCCAGCTAATGGGGAGGATCCCTCGAGCCCAGGAGTTTGAGGCTGCAGCGAGCTTTGATCACATCACTGCACTCCAGCCTGGGTGACAGAGCAAGATGCTGCCTCATAATCATAAGAAAAATAATTTTATAAAAACAGGTACTCGTCTAGTTTCTACTCCTGAAGAACTCTGGGCTGGGGTTGAGGCTGGGTGAGTATGTGTTTCTAAAACTCCACAGGTGAGCACAGCCAGCTGTGCACGGCTGCCCAGGGATGGAACGACTTGACTCGAGAGGGTCCAGTGTCAGTGGCTGTGCTGCCTGAGAGTCTCCAGTTTCTACACCAGTTTCTAAACCAAAGGCAGGCTTAAATGCCTGTGAGTAAAAGCAGCTGCAGGTGTATGTTGAACTAATCCAACTAAGTTGAACTCTATCAACTACAATAATTAGTCATCAACATTTGCAAATTGGAAGATTTTACATGAAAAATGCAGATCTTGAATTTCTCTAGAAAAATTAGAAGACACGGTCACACAGCCCAGCTTCCACATGGCCCAGTAAGTTAGAGCTGAGGGAGGATAAAACCCCCTCGGGCCAGGGTCTCCTCTATTCCCTTCTGCACTACCCCAGCCCAACCTCAGCTGCTCCTGGAGATTCTAGGTTTATGATCCACACTTGAAATAAGCAAGCTGACCTGTGCCGAGAGCTCCAGTCCCTTTAAACTCTGCTTCTGTCTTCAAGTAGCTTACAAAATCGTGCCCAGATTGAAGGATAAACAAATAGTATGAGTTATAAAACCCAAAATAATACAGACAGATACCAAAAGCTCAATCCTCACTCTAATTTTCTCGCTGATTTCTGGGGCAACACTGTTTTGCTAAACTGTAAATATGGGCTGTCGCTCCAACATTTAAATTCTTCTTTATTTTTTATTCTTTGTTGATTTAACAGGAGTTAGCATTGAAACAAATTCATAAAGTCAGTCTTGGATCTCATTTACTGAGGTTTCCATTTCAAAGAAACCTGGAATACTCAGATTTCTCTTGGCTGGCAGAAGGTGAGGGAGGTTTGTGGGGGTTGCTGGGAGAGTGGATATAAAACTCATGGGCCCTTTTTTTTTGAAAAGCAAAATATGGGGCTCCCTCAAGCCCCTGCCCAATGATCTCAACCCCATCGATAAGGGTGATCATCGAACCTCCTTCCTGATTTGGGAGCCTGTATTCAGGGAATGACCCTGGGAATATTCACAACGGGTTCAGCCAGGAATAGCTGGAATACTTCCCGGGGGGTGGGGGAGTCGTGATGCCAAGTCTCAGACGCTCTTTGACGATGCTATTCTTTCCTCTCAAATTACATCATTTCTAATCATCCCCCATAGGCTTCTAGGCTTAAAAAGGAGAAAAAAATAGGGAATCTGGAGGCCATGAGGACATTAGTATCCATTTTCTAATTTTAAAATGAGAGTCCAATGCTGCCTTTCTGTCTGACCTGGAGACGTACAGGGACCACAGACACAAGGCCTGAAAAGTCAATTGCTTCAGTTTGTAGGGGCAGCTCCGGTAGAAAAGGCACCTCCGCTTCAAAACCCAATGGGCCTCAAACTTCTTAGCTCGCTTCCTGAAGTCGGCACAGTGCTCACAGTTGGCCTGTGGGCCTGCACAGGAATCCCATGAACACACACGTGTTTGTCCCAAAGACTGATCACCTCCTCGGGCCAGCTGTGGCGGGAGCTTTCGCAGTGGCTCTCCGCAGGGCCGTTGCAGGGCCATAGTGAGAAGCGGCCTACCGGGAGACTTTCTGATTCCATCTTGAGCTATCACACGGGGTTCCAGCCACGCGACCCCTATGAGACCACCCCAGGCTCCCTGTGGGCCCAGGGACAGTTTCCTTTAGGGAAGCAGATATTATTTATATCATCAAAGCAGACTAGATTATGCAATGGCATTTCAATGGCTTAAACTGACTCACGATAGTACAAGGTTATCTGTTAAAAATAATCCTCCAGTTTGGTAGAAGTGAAGGGTTTCATCCCTGTGTCTTGTTAGACTGTTTGGCTGAAATATGTGACTAATGCATACACCCAGCTGGCTTCTCCATCTTCCATGAGGAGCTGGGGAGCCTCTCAAAAAAGTAGACATATGACCTGTATTAGATCTCAAGTGATTCGCCCACCTCAGCCTCCCAAAGTACTGGGATTACAGGCGTGAGCCACCACACCCAGCCTGCTGAGTGCTTTTGATTAACATTTATCAGTCTGATGAGCCAAATCCCTGTAGGACAGAATACCAAAAGCACAGAAATTCCCAATCCCAACCCGTGGCTAGTCACCCAGGACCACCCTCCTCCTCAACTTGCTCCCAAGCTTGCCCTACTCCCCGCTTCTTCCCTCAGGCACCGCATTTGCCAACGCAACACTTGCCACTCCCCGCCTTCGCAGCCACTCACCCTGCCGCTCTCTCCACCATCCAGTCAGCCTCCATGTGCCCCCTTTGTCCCTCCCAAAGAGTGCTACAAACTCTTCAGACTTGGCATCAATGCCAGCCCCACGCCTCTCTGACCACTCAGGCAGAGGCAACCTCCCTCTCCCTTGCATGTCCTCCAGGACAGGGATGAGATCTCACTTCACCTTGCTCTCTCCAGGGTCCCCGAAAATAGAGCAGACCCTGGATAAACACGGGGAGTAGAGAGGGAGAGAGCAGGGGAAGGAAGATAAGGCAGGACAGAGGATGCAGTGAGAAAGACAGAGAGGAAGGCAGGTTATCAGAGACAGGCAGCAGAATGCGATCTTCATCTAACTGCTCCGATTGTGTGTTCAAATAGAAAACAAGACCATTCCAGAAAGTAAACTCTTTCCTAGATCTCTGAAGAATTTATATAATGGAACTGAAATGTTGAGAACACAATGCCGATAGCTCCTCTGGCTACCAATCTTATTCTGTGAAATAAATACATGATGTGAGAGCTTTGCTTAGGAATACCCAGGGTTACAAAATGCAAAATAAACGGGCATTTCAAACACAGGAAAGGCCAGTTCCACAGGCCACATGGGTGCCCAAGGAAGCTCTAGTCTTCTTATTTTATGAACGTACAGTCCATCTTTCTTTTTTTTTTTTTTTTGAGACGGAGTCTCGCTCTGTCGCCCAGGCTGGAGTGCAGTGGCCGGATCTCAGCTCACTGCAAGCTCCGCCTCCCGGGTTCACGCCATTCTCCGGCCTCAGCCTCCCGAGTAGCTGGGACTACAGGCGCCCGCCACCTCGCCCGGCTAGTTTTTTTTGTATTTCTTAATAGAGACGGGGTTTCACCGTGTTAGCCAGGATAGTCTCGATCTCCTGACCTCGTGATCCGCCTGTCTCGGCCTCCCAAAGTGCTGGGATTACAGGCTTGAGCCACCGCGCCCGGCCACAGTCCATCTTTCTATTTCCTGGCATATGTTTTTATTTCGTTAAGACATTCACTGTTTGGCTTCTCTCCCAGGAGTTAGAGGTGAAGGATAGCGCCATGCCTGAGCTAAAGCAAACAGTTTGTGGAGCTTGCCCCACTCAATCCATTTAAAATCAACTCCCACTATACACGGTGTTTGCTGAGGATTGTGACTTTTTTTTTTTTTTTAATTTCTTTGTTTGAAATGGAGACTTGCTCTTGTCGCCCAGACTGGAGTGCAGTGTCACGATCTCGGCACACTACAACCTCCGCCTCTCGGGTTCAAGTGATTCTCCTGCCACAGCCTCCCAAGTAGCTGGAATTACAGGCACCCACCGCCATGCCTGGCTAATTTTTGTATTTTTAGTAGAGACAGGGTTTCCCCATATTAGCCAGGCTGGTCTCGAACTCCTGACCTCAGGTGATCCGTCTATCTCGGCCTCCCAAAGTGCTGGGATTACAGGCCTGAGCCACCATGCCCGGCCAGAGGATTGTGACTTTTATAGAGCTATAGACTTTATTTTTAATTAACACAGTGTTATAACAAATGTATCTGAGGCTGAGATAGTTTTAGCATTTTTCTTATATTTTTCAGCACAACTTTAAAACTTTCCTCTTTTATACTTGGCAAAATGCTTTAGAAACATTTTCTTAAAAATCATATGCCTGGGTGGCTGAGGTGGGCAGGATCAGGAGTTCAAGATATGCCTGAACAACATGTCGAAACCCTATCTCTACAAAAAACACAAAAACTAACCAGGCATAGTGACCTGTGTCCATAGTCCCAGCTACTCGGGAGGGTGAGGTGGGAGGGCCGCTTGAGCCATGGAGCTCAAGGTTGCAGTGAACTGAGATTGTGCCACTGCACTCCTGCCTGGATGACAGAGTGATTCTCTGTCTCAAAATATATATATATAAAAAATAAAAATAATTACATGTCTAATCCCATATTTAACTTAGCATAAACTAAAACCAAAATCAGCAATTCTCATTCAATAAGATAGCAGAAACATCATCGTGTAGAGATAATTCAGATACATTCAATTGTAATAAATTCACACAGGCTTCAAGCTCAGAAGTATCCTGGAATTGAGAGCCCAGCAACACAGCGGTAATATGGGCAGTAACAAGTCCCAGCTCTGCGTGAAGAAGTGAAGAGCTTGATGTAACTTACACGTGCTTTGATCTTGTGTGTGTATCTTCAGCATGTGATAATTCACAGCAGTAACATGATTTTGAGCCACCAAATGACAATGTGTGATTGCTTCTTTTTTTCCTCCTCTTGATTTATTTTGAGATGGAGTCTTGCTCTACCACCCAGACTGGAGTGCAGTGGCATGATCTCCACTCACTGCAACCTCTACTTCCCAGGTTCAAGCGATCCTCCTGCCTCAGCCTCCAAAGTAGCTGGGATTACAGGCATGTGCCACCGCACCTAATTTTTGTATTTTTAGTAGAGATGGGGTTTCACCATTTTGGCCAGGCTGGTCTCGAACTCCTGTCCTCAGGTGATCTGCCCACCTCAACCTTCTAAAGTGCTGGGATTATAGGCATGAGCCACCACGTCCAGCCCTTATTTTTTATTTTGATCATCTTTCTGCCAGATCCTGGGAGTCTTTTCGGGGTGCTGGTGTCTGCACTGATTTCCCCACTCCTGTGTGCTTGTATGGGATCACAGTTGACCAGACAGAACTTTCTAATCAGCTTTCCAAAGCCATGATGAGGGTTTGGTGTTTTCTTCTGAGAATCTCACTTTCACAATGTTTCCCCCACTAAATGCAGTGAAATTCAAGGTTTTCTTTTTTGCTTTTGTTTTTGTTTTTTTCTGAAGCTCTTGGAAAACAGCACCCAGGAAAGGCACCAACTGGCAACCTCTATCTAACCCACTAATCCCACCTTTGAGGATCTTTCCTGAGGAAAGAATAAGGTGTGTTACCTAATTACACCCTTTATAATAGAAAAATATATATAATAGAAAAAATATACAAAGGAAAAAATATAATAGGAAAAAATCACAGTACCTTTTATAATAGGAAATAGCTAGAAACAACCTAAAGATCCAAAAATGTAAGATAGTATCAAATAATTAAGATAAAGTCATAGGATAGAATTCTATGCCACTCCCTGGGGTGAAATTTTATAAGAATATTAAATGTTAGAGGAAAATGATTCTGATGTAAGTGAAAAAGTAAATTATAAAGCAGTGTGATTCCAAATACCTAACTACTTGTTGACAGCGGTTATCTCTGAGTGGTTGCATAGAAATGATTTATGCTTGCTTCTTTTGTTCTATATACATTTTTAAAAATTTCTATAATGAAAATATTCTATCTTCAAAGTAATATTTAAAAAGAGAAGCTGGAAATAATAATGCCTGGGATCCCTTTGCTCACATTCAGAATCTCCTTTGCAAAGACATTCCACAGAATCTCTTTGCAAGAAAAATTTCTACTGTGTCTCTATCTTCAAGTAATGTTTAAAAAAGAGAAGCTGGAAATAATAATGCCTGGGATCCCTTTGCTCATTCAGAATCTCCTTTGCAATAATGCCTGGGATCCCTTTGCTCACATTCAGAATCTCCTTTGCAAAGGCCAGACCCAGGCTCACGGCTGATGCTGCCGAAGGCGTTCAGTAGACCCTGGCATGGATACTGGGGCAGGTTCCTGGCTGGGGACAGGGTGCTTCTGCGTAAAGCTCCCCTCCAGAGGGTGCCCCCATGACCAGGGCTTTGCTGGAAGCAGCCTTCTGATGAGACACTACCAGATTAGACAGATACTTTCTGATTAGACACTGTATTTTACCTGGAACCTAACTGATTGGACAGTCATACTTATTACCTTAGTTTCTTCTTTCAAAAAATGATAATGAGAATATTTAGAGACATAGAAAATGTTTGTTTACATGGTGAAGGAAGCAGGTTAAGAAAATGTACACTCCTAATTGCATATATTATATATAATCATATAATATATTAATATGTAATAATAATAAATTAATAATGTGTTTCTTAGTTGTGACAAGTATAGTTATGTAAGCTGTTAACAATAGGGCAAGCTGGGTGAGGAGTCTAGGGGAGCTCTCTGAACTATTTTTGCAACCTTTCAGTAAACTTAAAATGATTCCAAAACAAAAGGTTTATTTTTAAAATAAGGGAATTATTCACTCTAGGGCACACATTTCTCAAGGCCTCAATTGTTTAACATTTAATTTAATAAAAACACTTTGGAAATCCAAAAAAAAGTACTTGTGTATTTTTAATCTGTATTACCAGTCTATTCACATGTAAATTACAGAAGGAAGCTATTCTAGGAAATTCACCAAAATAGGCTGGGCACAGTGGCTCACGCTA